TCAAACCTGCATGGGTTTGCAGCAGTTAAAGGGGAATTCGTGATTCTGTCCTTACCATTCTAACCCGGAGTCAGGGAAAGTGAGCCATCATGGAGTCTGGGGAAGCTGGGATGAGAAAGAAGTGTCAATGCCCTGGGAGCTGGCCTCAACACTGGAGACAAATAAGGGGGTCTGCCTGTACCGATGCTGGGATCAGAGGGAGCTGAACCTGCTAGAAAGGGGAAGGAAGGTGACAGGTGCACAGCTTGGCCTCAGCAAGGAAACAGGCAGACTCAGAGCTGGTATCTCTGTCTGTACATTATACAGCCAGGCACTCAACTTTGTCTGTTGGTCAAATCCATTGCATCAAAAACTTGTTCCCCTTCTCTTTGGGCCCTTACAGCAAATACAGGCCAATTGGAAGACCCAGGCCCCAGTGGCAAAGCCAGGCCCCCAAATCACCCTGAATTTAAGCCTGAGACAACTGGGTAGCAATCTCCAAGGAATAGAACACACTGTTTTAGTCTTAAATCTTCCCCTAAAATGTGCCCAGCTGCTTCTCTTTCGCCGGGGTAGATTGAACTAAGGAACCAAAGACTGAGTTTCCTTTGAGGTGGGGTCCACTGAGGATAGAGGGCGGCTGCCTTCCCCCAAAACTTGGTGTGCTCTGAGCGGGCCTGTGTCTGGCAGTGCCGGGTCCTGGGCTGCTAGTCAGGTGGCAGGTCCACAGGGTTTCTCTCTGCCACCTTCCTGGCCTCCAGAGCAGTACCCTGTGGCCCAGCACGCCAGGTGGCATTCGCTAAAGCTGGGATTCGAAGACCGAAGTGGCTAGCCCATGCTTACAGGTGGCCAGGCCATGCCCCAACCCTGCCTCTCTGTCTCGCTGGCATGGATGGGGCCAAAGCCTGCTACCTGAGACTGGTACCACCACATGGGGAGGCTCACAGCAGGGAGAGGTTTGCCCTGACCTACCAGCCTTGGTTATTATCATATCAGTGCCCAGCTGATTGAATTCGTCCCACAGAGCCTTCATCTCAAGCTGCACCCTCACACTGACAACCTTTGGGTTATTCTTTACCAACGCCTTGGCAGCGGCCACATAACTGGCCCCTGGGCCCTCGGACTCAACAGTGGTGCTGGTGGGGGCGCCTGTGGCCAATGGGTCATCATAGTCATAGCAACCGGCTGTCCCAGTCATTCTGTCTTAATGGTCTCTGAGCTTTTATTATAGATACTTTTAATCCTTACCCGAGGATATTTTTCCATTGATTTTTAGAGAAAGTGCACGAGTGAGGGAGAGACATAGATGTGAGAGAAACACATTGATTGTTTGCTTCCTGAATGTACCTCAACCAGGGCCAGGGAGGTGCCTGCAATCAAATATATGCACTTGACCAGAATTGAACTCCGGACCCTTTGGCTCCCAGGCCGACGCTCCTCCACTGACAATTGATGTTTCTAATGTTTCCACTTTTTTGAAGTTTAAACATGTGCGGAAGAAAACATCTTTGTAGATATCTACTTTGTTTTTTTTCTTTCTCTTTTTGTATATTTTTGATTATTTGGTCAAGTTGCATGTGTGTTAAAGGTGACAGAAGGTCACCAGGGTGGAAAGCCCCAGGTTCCCAGCAAAGTCCAATCAATTGTAGGGTGGGACCCTACCCCAGGGTGACTTCCTCATCTAGTGCATTACTGATTATGCAGCCCAGACCCCCTGACCTTTCCTCCCTACAGATAACATCTATGCCTTTGTTGTAATTCAGCTCCAGGCCCAGATAAGCAACAAAACTAGTCTCAGGATCAGCTGTTTTGAGTAATGACCCTTTGCCCCAGTGCCTAACGATCAATCAGTGGAGACCACAACCCTGAAAGGACATGTCTGGAAAACTGCTGAATATTCTATTAAGATCCTTCCCTGGGACAAGCCCTAAAATCTCTAGCCTTAAAACCTTCAAGACAAAGGACCCTCCTCAGAGCATCCTCTGCCATTCCCCAATCTTGCCCCAGGCACGTTAGCATTAGCTTCCTCATTCCCAAACTCCAAGGGCTCTTCCTTTATCCCCATAATTTGTTTCCTAAACCTATTTGTTCTAGGAATTACTTCTTCTGTCTCTTTGATTTACCAAATAAATTTCCTCTTACAGTTTGGGGTCTTGGCTCTGAAGTCTTTCCCAGCCAGAAACCAAGTACCGAGGCTGCTGAACCCAGGTTTGCGTGGACCCCACCAGTCAGACACCTGGTGCTGTTCCTACCGCCCACAACAAATCTATTTTATGTCAATTTAATTCTTAGACCAGCCACAGAACCTAGAATGGTAGAAGGGAATTTTTTTCTCTCTCCTACAATCCCAAACTCTTAAAATCGGGTAGCCTATTTAATAACAGGGTAATATGCAAATTAACTGTAAGTCCATCACAAAGATGGAGGCACCCATACCACAAGATGGCAGTGCCCAGTCCCCTCAGCCTTGCCAGAGTCCCCCAGTCCTGGAGAGGGCTATTGCTGAGAGTGGGCAGCATGAGCCCCCTGGCAGAATGCTTGCTTCTTCCCCACGGAGATGACGGAGGGCCTCTGTGCAGCGGACAAGGAATGGCTGGGGCTGGACATTTACTTCGTTGCCAAGGCAACGCTCTGGTGGTGGAGGGCCTCTGGGGGACAGGAGGCTGACCTTCAGCCTCCATGGCTGAGTGCAGGCCCAGAGAGGAGACGGCGGGCCTGCCTCCTATGGAAGCAGTGTTGGGTCCCTCTCATCTCTGGAAGAATTGGCATGGGTCCCTCCCCGGCTCCTGTGGAAGCAGCGAGGCTCCTGGCGGTGCTGCTGCGGCTCCCACTGGCTCCCACGTGGCCTACTGCACGAGATATCTACTAGTATAAGAATAATAATATCACTACACATTTTACTTATGAGAAGATAGAAGTTAAGGAAAGCCTTGGGCTTAAAACACAGTATTTAATGGCTCCCAATTCACATTTACCAAATTTAGTTTGCTTTTTTCTTTTTTTTCCATCCTTACTCTTCTACAGTATATTATATAAAAAAATGCAACTATCCCTCTACCATCTTAGGTTCTGAGCCGAGACATCCCAGTAATATAAAGACAGATTAATAACATGTACACCTCCTATACAACTGGGAGAGACCCAGGAACAGAATACCTCTCTAAACTGGTCTAAGCGATCATCTTAAGTATAATTCTGAGCTAAAGACAAAATTAGGATGGTGGGGGTGGGGGTGGGGCAGTTGTGGTGTAAGTGAACAAGGGAAAGATTGTCAGGCACATTTCAATGGGTGCCTTCTCTATTGATAAAGTTTCCAAAGCTTCCTGATAGAGAGAGAAACACCCTTACAAATGGAAATGTCCCTTATAAATGTAAATCTCTTTCACAAAAGGGCAACCTCCCCGTTTCCAGACATTCTGCAGCATTAGCAGCCTTTCAAAAATCATCAGCCCCCAAAGAGGCCTATTTTAGGGTGCATATTCTGTTCCCTTTCAACAGCAGTGAGTGCCCCCAAAGCCTCATTTGTGAAATGTGATCCAGGGAATAAAGACATTTAAAACATAAAAACCGAATATAGACAAAACCAGGGGAAATAGTTTCAGTATTTACTAATAAAACATCATCTCTAGATAAAGAATGTATACAATATAAGGAAGTCAAAGAAATAAACAAACACAAAAACACAACTCTCCATCCTATGTTAATGCTCAACCACTGAGCAAGGCAGGCTGGGCTAGAATGTATTTCCCTAATTCTTGACTTAGATCAGTGAAATCTACCAGCCTCCCTAAACTCAGCAAATGCAGCATAAAATGGAAGGACACCCTTGCCTAGGGAAGCTTGGTGTGTTACAACCCAAAGCCAGAGGAGGAAGTCGTGGTGGGGGTGCTTCATATCTGGAAAATCCTGCTGACAATGTCAATGGTGGTGACCAGCTTGCATGGCCAGGGTGGAAGGCATCCATAATTGGTTTAGGATGTGCACACTGATGATGACTCACTGCCCCGACCCGCGGGGCAACAACGAGGGCACGTGGAAACCACCTAAGAGAATGAAGCAAACAAGGAACGCGAAGGACGAGGCAAGACAGGGTTCTGATCAAGCCTCAAAATTTTTATTCAAGAACATCGGTATATAAGTGCTCAGGAGGGGAGGGGAGGGGAGGGGCAGGAGAAGGAGTTGTCGCAAGGTGATTGGCTGGGTGCTGGGTACTCGTACTTAGCTGGTTGGTTGTTCTAAGGTGGGAGGGTTATAGTCTTGGCGTGCGGGCTTTATTGGCGCTCCAGGAAGTGGAACTGACCAGGAAGTGAGACCGGACTTTCTTTATGGCTCCGGGCATCTCTGGAGCTCTTGCTCAACCGGGAATTGGGACTGACCAGGAAGTGAGACCAGACTTTTTCCTTATGGCTCCTGGCAACCCACCACTTACCAGGAGAGTATGAAAATGTTTATTACTCAAATGCTGAGGGAGAGTAGGGTGGATATTAGAATAGGAAACAACAGAGAGCACAGGAAAAGGGACTTGTGTTGATGGTGGTTACTGAGTGCTTTTGGTGGAAGACTGTTGACACTATTTGGAAACTTCCCCCCCCCTGCACCCAAGGATGGACTACCTGTACTTACTCATAGGCATTCCCAGGAACAAAGTCAGGAAGGAGAGAAGAATGCATCCTAAAAATTTTTAATATTCAAACATCAAAACTGGCCAAGACCAGTTTGGCTCAATGGATAGAGCGTCGGCTTGGGAACTGAAGGGTCCCGGGTTCAATTCCGATCAAAGGCATGTACCTTGGTTGCGGGCACATTCCCAGTGCGGGGTGTGCAAGAGGCAGCTGATCGATGACTCTCTCTCATTGATGTTTCTAACTCTCTATCTCTCTCCCTTCCTCTCTGTACAAAATCAATAAAATATATTTAAAAAAAAAAACCCCATCAAAACTGGAATCAGGATCTTTATTATAAGTATTTCTTTCAATAACAAGGGAAGAAAATAAGCACATACAAAATTTCTTCCTAATTGTTTATCTCTTCATTCTGAAGCCACTGATTGTAAGAGATTCTGAAGACAATGCAATGGAGAAATAAGGCATAAGTTTCCCTGTAAACTTCTCAGTGATTCCATACATGTATGACGTGTCATTCAAATTATAAAATAAAACCTGTCCCAACTCATAGTCCAGGAAAATGCCAATTTTCCGTTCTCCAGTACGATTCCAGAGCTGATGATGCCAGCATCCTTTGCTTGGGGATGATGATCTGAGAGTATCTCTGGGGATAGATTCTTTACACACACCTAATAAACATTTACCTGTGCCTCCTATGTTTACCACCCAAACATGCCTGCCAGTATCAAATCCCTCAGAACTCAGGACATCTGCATAAGAAGTAAGTATCTGAGGATTGGAATGACCACCTGGTCTCTTATATGTCACACTTTTTCTATCACTTGAGATAAGGAGACTTGGATGGGCAGTTTTAGGATCCAGTGTCAACTCTACCTGAAACGTGTGGGTCATTTTTTGCAGGCCCACATAATCTAGGGGAAGATTGCAACTCTCCTTCTTTAATTCATATGAAAAGACTGCAGGCATCTTTAGGTTTCCATAGCTGTTGTGGATCCTTTCAATACCCGTGAGTAAGTCCAGGTCTGTCTGAAAATATTTCTCTACTATTTCACTTAACAGATGGCTTAGCCTGTGCTTATGGTATGAAATTTGCCTTCCATTTTCAATAAATTTTTCTTCGACATCATTCTCTTCTATAAATAGATCATTATCAAGTTCCTCATGCTCTATTTCCAAGAAATATTGAAGTTCTTCACATTCAAAGTACAATTTCTTCCTCCACTTTCTCATCTTCCTCTTCACTGTCCAAGTATTTGCAACTTGGATTTTATATACCCTCTTGGCATTTTCAAGGTGATCAGTGAGGACCGTCATATGCTTTTTGAGCATCCTCCTGTGACTAGCTGCAGCTTCCTCAATGGGGATCAGGAGCTGATCCTGGTGGTCGGAGGAGACCTTGCACTGGACACACAGAAGCTCCATGTTTTCCTCACAGAACAGGGTCAGAGCCTCATTGTGCTTCCCACACAGGGGTATTTCTTCCTGCAGTTTCTTCTGGCTCCCTGAGGTGGGAATCTGCTGGACAATCTCCATCATATCACATAATTGGGGGTTCCTCTTCAAGCTCCTATCAGGGCAGTGGTGGAGGCAAATAGGACAGGGAAAGGTGTCCTGTAGATCTTCCCAGTGCTGGTGGATGCAGGAGGGACAGAAGTTGTGCCCACACTCAGTGGTCACTGGGTCTCTCAGGTGATCCAGGCAGAGGGGGCAGCTGGCCTGTGCCTGGAGCTCAGCCAGGGAAGCTTCAGACTCCATTGTGCAGTGAAAGTATCTATCAGAAGAGACTCTCTACAATGAGTGAGATTTTCCAGGAGCGAAGAATTGTGAGAAGCTGAGGTGTGCTCAGGCCTTCCTCTCAGTGGAAGGCACTAGGAGCATCCAAGAAGAGTTCCAGTGGGCAACTGACATCCAATCTTCCTATCACTTTCTCCCGTATTTAATGTCAGGTTGCGCAAGTGAAGATCAGCTGTGGACTCTGGTCAAAAAAAGCAAGTAACATGCAACTCAAAAGTAGTTTCTGTGGACAAAAAGATATCAACACTTAAAATTCAATCAACATTAATCCTTCCCTCCTTGTATAAACAGCATGTCAGGTAGTCCAAATCAGTTATATGTCAATATTTAAGGAGGAGTTATAAGTAAAATCTATTATTTTGCAACTTAAAAGGAATTTGACAATCTAGGCAAATTCATCATTGCCATCAACCATCACCAAAAAAAAAAAAAAAAAAAAAAAAAAAAAAGTGATCTTGTTCTGTAGGGAAAAGGATTTGTAAGCCCAGAAGCGAGGTCCTGCCTATCGGATGCTGCTTCTCTGCAGAGTCCCCAGCTGAAACACCATGCACATGTGTGACCAGGAGGCAAAACCCTAAACAGGGAATTCGGGGAATAAGAAGGAAGGAGGACACATTCAACTCAAAGTCATTGGACAAAACTGTGCCACACTAGCATGGCCAAGAGTGAATCCGAGTGGGGGCGATGAAAGAACTGAGAAAAAAGACAAGAGAAGGAAAGCTGGGTCTCGGTGGGACGCTGCTTCCCTGATGGGGAGCCAGCAGCACCACAGACTACAAGTGTCTTTATTTTATAGCAGATGCCACGAGGCAAAGTAAGGACCTGGTCAAGATGTTTACAGCATTCCCATGAGTTTCGATCCTACTCAATTACATACACCTGATCAAGCTTTGAGTACTTGCAGCCTATATCACTTAGGCACGTGGAGCCACATGTTTGGACCACAGGTTCAAGCTCCCAATTACAGCTGTTGGCTATAATTGTGCTGGGAAGGCTCTGCCCTCCACGCTGGGACTTGCACACGGTCATGAGAAAACTGTACCCTCTCATTAGTCCAAGACTCAAACCTATCCAAACACTATAGCCTCACCCCACACAGGACAGCAGTGAGATTCACTTTAAAGGGAAAATGACAACACACCTCAAGAAACGCAAACAATCATGCTGTCTAAGATGGGAGTTCCAATGAACTCGCTCAGGTTTCTCTTGGAGGGTCAAAGAACGACTGATAATCACACTCCAAGAGAACTGGGAATGGAGGAGGAAGATGTGAGTGAAGTTTATCAGGAACAACAGGGGGTCATTCAATGGTTTATTCTTTTTCATTTTCCTCAATCCTTTCTTATTATTAAAAATAGTTCTTTTGTAATGTGGTGTTCCAAATGGAATTGAAAAGTGATACCACCACCCCCATCTCTTTAAAACCTCTGGTAATTTGAATTCTAATGCCCAGTATTCATTATTGTTTGTTTTCATTGTGCTGAGTTTGGGTGATCAAGCCCAAGTCTCCTTCACATTGCCCTCTCCTTTTGAAATATTACCTGTGCACAGGGAGACCAGCCTTTTCAGGACTGTGCATTTTGGGGCTTGTGATAAATGAGGTGGACAATGCAAGTGATCATAATACTTCTAATTGGTCCGGAAGTCCTAGCATGTGATTGCCTTACTCTGGAACTATTTCTTTTTTTTTTCTTTTAATATATTTTTATTGATTTCAGAGAGGAAGGGAGAAGGAGAGAGAATTATCGATTGGTGGTCTCCTGCATGCCCTCTACTGGGAATTGAGTGCATAAACCGAGCATGTGCCCTTGATCAGAATTAAACCTGAAACCCTTCAGTACAAGGCAACCAAAAAATGCATGACTGAATGAAACCACAAATCAATGTCTCTTTTTTTAAAATTATATTTTATTTATTTTTTTACAGAGAGGAAGAGAGAGGGATAGAGAGTTAGAAACATCGATGAGAGAGAAACATCGATCAGCTGCCTCTTGCACACCCCCCACTACAGATGTGCCCGCAACTGAGGTACATGCCCTTGACCAGAATCGAATCTGGGACCTTTCAGTCCGCAGGCCAACGCTCTATCCACTGAGCCAAACCGGTCTCGACTAATGTCTCTTTCTTTTAAAATAATTTTTAAAAATTTAATGTAAAAATATGTAAATTAATAGTCTCTTTTGAAAATATATAATGAAAAGTTTACAAGTAAACTTGTAGAGATTTCCTGCACAGAAATGGCAAAAGGTTGGTACGACTATAGGTAGAAGATGGAGAAAGTTACTTATAGAATACAAGTTTTTCATACATAAGTTCATAAGATTTCTTTCTCCTATTCTGGATATCTAGAATATTCTATAATTTATTTTAAAAAACTAACCATTTGAATTCTATTTAAGTGTTTCTATGCTCTCTTCTAGCCAAGGTTTCTTCTATTCCCTTCTTAAGCTTCATCCATGTCCCTTTATCTCAGAGCTTTCAGCTTACTTCATCTCCTTTCTCCCTCAAAGTTGTTTCAAACTGGTCCCCTTTCTCACTCCAAATCCAACATCTGCTTCCCTGTTCCAACATCCTAACCCCACCCAACAATTGAGATTGAGAAAAGACCAAGGCTGGCATTAAAGTTCTATCTCTTTCTAGATATGTGAGCTGGATTTCAGGTCTGATTTTAGACTCCCTGTGTCACTGGGGATGGGCAACCTGGACATCTGCCCCTGGACTGAATCAAACCTGAGAACTTTCAGTTCGAAGACCGACACTCTAACCACTGGACTGTGAACCAGCTAGGGCTGGAGGATGGATTTTTTTTGATTTCCTGTTTATTCAGAGATGTGGAACAAGAAAAATAACACTCAACTTCCCTCTCAGTTTGTTGTCAACATATACAGCTATTTAGGTAAACCTTTTGGAACATCTGATTTTTTCATTTGTTTTTTAAATACATTTTTTCATTGATTTTTTACAGAGAGGAAGGGAGAGAGCTAGAGAGCTAGAAACGTCGATGACAGAGAAACATTGACCAGCTGCCTCTTGCACAGCCTCTACTGAGGATGTGCCCACAACCAATGTATATGCCCTTGACCGGAATCGAACCTGGGACTTTTCAGTCCTCAGACCAATGCTCTACCACTGAGCCAAACCGGTTTCGGCTGGAACATCTGGTTTTAAACAAATGAATTTGACACCAGACACTAAGACATTCTGGAAAAGGATTCCCTCGGATAGCTTCAGACAAGCACTTCAGGGCATTTTGCACAGGCAGCTATTCGTAATCCCATAGGTATCTGTATTTTTAGCAATCATTTTGATGATGTAGGGCAAGGCTAACTGAGGGACATCTGCAATAATGAAAGCATGTATCTAAAATAACCTGTATCCACGTGATGATTGGCTTGTGAGACAAAGTGAAGGTCCTTCTAGAGTAGCCACTCAGAAGCCAATGGTGGGGAGAAATACCTCCCTGGCTCTCAGTTTGGCCCCACCTCCTGCACCAGTATCATCCCGACTCCCAGCTTACCTGGAGCCTGCTCCCTTGAGTGAATCCTGAAGTGTGTCTTCAAGAAGTCTCTGAAGCTGATCTCCTAACAGATAAATGGTTAGTAATGTGACACTTGCCTATATATACCACTGGGAGGGTGAATCTCTTTAAAACCTCAACCAATAAGGCTCCTCCCCAGAGATGGGAGTTGTGTGCAAAGGAGATAAGAGGATGTTCAAAAGTCTGGTTGATGGGATCTCTTATTTTTGAAGGCTCGGGCAGACTAACCTTGTTAATATGCATAATCTGATTTGCACCTTTGTAATCCTCTCTTGAATTTCTTAACACCCTTTAATCCCATCTTTGCTGAGGAAGAAACTGAAATTAAAAGTAAAATCTTGCTTTGGATGATTTTGCTCAGTGGGTAGAACAATAGCCTGTGGACTGACGGGTCCTGGGTTTGATTCTGGTCAAGGGCACACATATCAGGGTTGGGGGCTTGATCACCAGTGCAGGTGTGCAAAATGCAACCAATCAATGATTCTCTCTCATCCTTAATGTTTCTCTCTCTCTCCCTCTTCCTTCTTCTCTGAAATCAATAAAAATATATTTTAAAAAATAATAGTAAAAGCAAAGTCTTTGCTTCCTTCCCAACTTGGGCCTGGCAAAATGGCTCTAGCAAAAATGGTGGAGAGAAGAAGGACCTCTGTGCCATCTATGAGGTAGCACCAGAGAACACACTATCAACATTCATAAGCACATCTATGGAGTGAGTTTCAAGAAGCTTGCTGCTCTGTCACTCAAAGAGATCCAAAAACTTGCCCTGAAGGATGTATGAATTTGAGAGGGTTAACTTGAAACAACAGCAGGTGAACATAGGTTAACTTGAAACAACAGCAGGGCATACATTTGAGCTAGCCTAACCACAGGAAGCAACCAAGCAGAAATAATAAAATGTTTCTGGTGTCAAAAGTGGAGTCATGGAAAACCAAAAGAGGGCCTACAGCAATAAGGTGTACTGACACTGAAACAGGAGATTCAGCACAGAAACAGAGAGAGGACACAGAAACAGTGAAAGTTCAGGACCTTTACTGGGAAAGAACAATTGAGGGAATCAATCAGGTGATGTCACAGGCAGGCTTGTAGCATATATATACCCCTGGACTACAAGGCCTTGACGAGTAGCCCATTATAATCTCCCCCACCCCACCTCATGAGGTCACATGCTTCAGGGATTATAAATCCAAGCAGAATACCTGCAGGGTATGCACATGCTTCCAGACCACCTGTATGTACCCTTCTACCTAGAAGTAAAGATATTTGCCTTGCTGCCTGGCCCCCCGAGTATGTTTTGTGTTCTACCAGTACCCCAGAATTTGGGGGCTGATCTCATTTCTTATAGGAGATAGAAATCTGTGTTTGACTGGAGTGTGGTAGTGGGTGGAGCCACTTGAAATAAACCCAGGGATTTAAGGAAGAAATA